CCATGGGCAGGGCTGGACCATACACCCCCAGGAACCTCCAGCCTCTGCTGTCCAGGATGCTCTGTGGTTTCATATTTTAAAAGTAAAATTTAATAGAGATGGAGAGAATGTTCGTCCATCTCCAAGTAGGCAGGCTGGGGCTGTGCTGTCCTGTCCCTCTGTCCTCTGAGCGGAGACAGACAGCACCAGAGCAGACTGTCCCCAGGTGAGCCCCAAGACCTGTGGAGCTGAAGTCCGGGAGGTCACCTGGAGCTCGGCCAGGATGGCGTGCTCTGCCCTGCAGACTCCGCAGAAGGAGCCCATCGCTGGCCCCGCTCCTGTGACTATGACCGGAGTCTCCGCTGCCAGGCTTCCACCCTAAAAAGCAGCATTGATAACACAGACACCGGGGACCCTGGAACCAGGAGGGCAAAGGCTACTGAGCCAACCGTGTCACTGGGGCCCTGAACGTGTGGGGTTGAGCTTGACAGGCCAGGTCCCCATGCATGTAATGAGATGGTAAGAGAGCTGAGGCCTGGGGCACCCCCTCCCAGCAGGGAAGACACAGCCTGAACCCCGAGATGCAGACAGGGAGGGGGCGCCTAGGGGAGGCCACGGCCCAATGGGTTTCCTGCGATGGTGCCCTTCACCTGTCCTTCATTCAGACTGCACACGTTATCTTACTGTGATAAATACATCCTGCCTGGCAACACAACCTGGATTACCTACTGAAGAAGCCAATGAAAAATGGCCGGGATCTTTCTAGGGTTTCCCCTTCTGCATAGTGCAAGATTCATCAGCCCCTCTCACGACTGTGTGGCCAAAGGCAAGTCCGACTGCACTGGTGTGAACCCTGCAGGCCAGGTGCCCGTGGGGACATGAGAGGAGCAGTGGCCAGGGCCGTGGGCAGGAGCCACCAAGCACAGTGCTCTGGGGATGGGCACACACAGAGAGAAGGCACTTTAGGCCACCACGCTGACCCTTTTAAACACTAACATTTTAAGTTTTATTAAAAGCTAATTCTATTATTTATATAAATCCAAGGAATAAGGGCAAGTGTAAATACCAAAACAAGAGCCAGCGTAAGTGAGGGGAACAGTGGGAGGGGCCCGGGAGCTGGCCCCAGGAGGAGCTCAGGAGGTGACACCGACCACCGTGCAACCACCAGGTGCCCCAGCACTGCAGCAGGTGAAGGGGCTGCCACGGACTCTGGCTGTGGTCCCACCGCTGGGCAGGAAGCTGCAGGTGGAGCTGGCTCGGGCTCCACACATGGGACTTCAGCTGGGGCTGGAGCTGGTCCTGCAGTTCCAAGAGAAGAAAGTCACCAACTGACCATGTTCCCTCCCAGGGCAAAGCCTCCCCACTGCCCATCAGACAGCTCTGCGCACAAAGCCTCCCCAGGAAGTCCTCCCAGACCATAACGGCTGAGGTCTCAGTGACCCCAGGTCACCCCAGCACCCGGAAGCTGTCTCTGTGTCTAAAGGCCCATCCCTCCCCTCATGCCACAGGCCCACACCCCATCCTCCTTGCCCGTGGGCTGTGCCTCAGTGGGCTCAGCTTGCTCCAGCTGGGCCAGGAGTTCAGCTGGTGGATCCTCCTGGGAGTGCAGCTCTGCCCAGAAGTAGAGGGCAGAAAAGGAGGACCGGAAAGGCAGGTAGGAGGCAGAGTGAGAGGCCTGGCCTTTCCTCCCATGCTGCCTGCCCAGGGAACATGCGGAGATGGCCAAGTAGGTCTCCTGGCCTGGCTGCACGTGCTCCAGCCCCACCCTCTCCATGCCCAGTGGGGCAGTGCTGGCCCAGGCAGCCCAAGAGCCTAACAGGAGGCTCCGTGCTCTGTGTGACCACCCCTGCCTTGTTCAGGGCAGCCCAACACACCGTCTGCCCACCCGTCCCCACTGTCAGCTGCATGAGGACAGAGTCTGGTGTCTGCTGCGTGTTACACTCAAGGGCACAGGGCCACTGCTCTGTAACGATCTGAGACATGGGAGACAATGGGCATCTGTCCCGCCCACCTCTCCTCAGGCTTTAGCTCTGCAGCGCTGTGCTGCCCGGTGTCTGTGCCGCTCCTGGGCTCCTCTTGTACTGCTGTGGGTCCCCATCTAGGGAGGCCGGGAAAGTGCCAGCTACTGCAGTTCGAGGAATGCTTGCTCAGCTGTCCAGGGTGACTGAGGACCCCAAACAGCACTGAAGCCCCAGAGGGCAGGGGTTGCATCTGCTCTGGCTACTAGCGATCATAGCCGAGCCCTGGGAAAGGTCTGCACACAGTGTGTCTTCACATACGTCCATGGAATGGGGACCCCACCTGCTCTTCCCTGATGTCAGTAGGCCTTGGCCCTTTGCATCCCCACAGACTCCTGCTCTGGGAAGACCAGAGGCCTGCTGAGTCACTCTGTGGTCTCCTTTACAGGGAACGGACAGCCTTCCCCTGTGCAGGGCTCAGTGGGGCAAAGCACAGCCGGCCAGGGATGGAAGGGAATCCGGCAGGCCCCGGTCAGCACTGCCCTGGAGACCCCAGTTCTGCCCCACAGTGATGCTGAGAGCCCGATTTTCTCAGCGCCCTATTGCTCAGAGTTGCGAGCAGGCTGAGGCAGGGCTCATACCTTCCAAAGGCTTGGGGCCACAGTGGCCAAGTGCCCCTGGGTGCCGACCACAGAGCTCACCTTAGCACCATCCCTTCCTGCAGGGCGGGAATGCAGGCCCCAGAGGGGTCCAGGAGGAAGTCTGCCTGGATGGGGCAGCTGTCCAGGAAGTCCTGTTCCAGGGGCTCCCTCGGGGAACAGAGGGGAGACATGGAACTGGGGCCCACCCAGGCCATCAGGAGGGCTGGAGGCCGAAGTCCAGACCACTCTGCAAGTCACCATCATGGCTCGTACCAGAAGGGGCACAAGTGGGGCCGGCAGAAAAGCGATGCATGTTAGAAGGTAATTTCAGAAGGGACACACAGAAATGCTACCAATTCATGGCTCATTAACAAGGAGAGGTCATGGCCTGGGGCATTAAGAGCCCACCCACCCTCAGGTCCTGTGGTGGAGAGAGAAACTGAGGCTCAGCCTGGGGCCAGGCCTCCTGCGAGGCCAGCCTGTCCCTGGTGTCTGTTAACGGCTCAGAAAAAGTCAGGCCCACTTCCTGGTCCTGAGAGGCTGCCCGGCTGTGCTCACTGCCACCTTTGCAGGTCGAGTAGCCCCTGTGGGTACCACATGGGCCCTGGCCAGGAGTTGCCCTGAGGTGACACGGCAGAATAAAGCCATGACAGGACGGAAGTGACACAGTGTCCTGTGTGCAGCTCTGTGGGGACAGTGCCCGGCAGCTGGCAGCAAGCACAAGGCTCTGCCTGACCCCAGTTTGTGCTGTTTCTGCTCCGGGTAACCTTGTGCTCCCAAAACACAAACAGTTCTGTCTCAGGCTTCTACCCCAGAGGACAGGAGAAGGCCCTGCGGGCTGCAGCTCATCACTGGGCACTGCCCTTCTCCTCCTCTCAGCCCTGTCCTGGGGGCACAGGCCAGGGCCCCGGGCTCACAGCCTCCCACACCTGCCCCTGCCCAGGAGGAGCCTCCCTCATGGCCTCGTCCCCCACCCTCCTCAAAGTGAGGAAGCCGGGCGGGAGTTACACCGGGGACTCACAGTGGTGGCCGGGCCTGACTGGACCTGTCCTGGACTCGGTGGCCCCGAGAGTCTGGTGTCCAGGTCCAGGGAGATCTGCCCTGGGCTCCCGCTCGTCTCAGATTCCCAGGTCTCTGGGTCTGGGGAGACCCGCCCTGTGCTGCCCCTGAAGGCCAGGTAGTTCCTGGTGAGTGGCCTGAAGCACGGGGACTTAGCCATCCAACCTCTCACTCGCGCCCAAGTGCTTTCCCTGCACGGGCTCCTGGTGCTGCGGCCTCGAGGCCTGGGAAAGCAGCACAGCATGATCGCTGCTGACGCTCTCCAGCCAAGTGACTGTCAGGCAGCCGTCGCTGGACTGGGGTGCCCAGTGACTCCAGGGTTCCGAGTTCTGTTTGGACCTGTCGCCAAGGAAGTGAGGTTGCAATGCTAGGGTCATGAGCCAAACCGCCCCCTCTGATGAGACGACCCCGTGACCCCTTCCTTTCATAGTGGAACACATCTATCTGTCTGCTCCTTAGAAACAGCAATGAGAAACCAGAAAAGCTGCCTGTGATGTTAGAGTTTGATGAGTCAGAAGTTTTAATTCGGCAAATGTGTAGATGCTTAAGACCCAGCAGGCACAGGGAGAAGTGTGCTTTCCCATCCAAAGGGTCCATTCTCTCTCAAGACACAGTGCTCATGTCAGCACTTAGAGATCTGATGGATTTGAGGATGATTTTCTTTCCTGGGTTGACTTCAATTGCCTTTCAATTCCAATAGGGACTATAGATGATCCCAAAATGTCCAATGTAATTTTCTTTAAAGGATACAAAAGTTTCAGCTGATAACCCCTGGGTGGCCAGGAGTGGAGGATTCACAGCAGGTCGTAACTTTCAAGTGCGCGTGGATAGCTACTTAAGCACAGATACCGAGCTCAACACCAAGTGCAGTATGCAGTGCAGAGACTGCGTGAGGGGACAGCAGCCTTTGTGAAACCTCCCACCCAGCGGGGGTGCAGAACACTCTCACGCATCACTTGGGAACGTCCCTTGTGGCGCTGCTGTCCCCTCCTGTCCTCTCATCCCAAGCTGACCACGTGCTTTTTGTCCCTGGTGGAGTAGAGAGGGTAGAGCTGGAACCATTCGGTGTAAATGTTTCCGGCAGGTCTTCTTCAGGCAGTAACACCAGGCTGGGGTCCCTGCGCGCTGCTCCTCCTCAGTGGTGGCACCGTCATGGGGGTGGAGCACAGCTGTCCTGCATCCTCTGCTGACAGCCATGCATTCGGCTCCCAGGGTTGACCACTGAGCAGTTCCCACCAGCATCACTCAGGCAGGTGTCTTTTCAACCATGAGTTCTTCTTCCAGGAGACACACTTGCATGTCTGTTTATTTGCTTTATATCACTATTTTTTGCCTACTTTTTTATTTACAACATTTCATTCCCCTTTGATGTTTCTAATGAAATCTAATAATAAATTCAGGTTATTATCTTTTTTAAAAAAGAAAACCTGGTTACTTTTGGTATTTGGGTAGTTTTCTTCACAACTATTTCATCCACTGTAGAAGATTTATATCTTTTCTTTTGGGAAGAGAAAGCATTTTGCTTTAAAAATAGGTTGTTTTTACTTAAAATTGGTAAAAACAGAGAAGCCGCACAGAAACACACCCAGTGTGCTTGGGTAAAGTGATGTGGATCTAGGAGCATACTCATGGAATCACAACATGTTCTGTGAGGAGTGAGTGGTCCGTTATGCATAGAGTGGGGAGATTTCATTAGGGGTACCCTATTAGATTATTATCACAGTGAGCATCAGCGCATAGTAACTGAGGCCATGCTGCATATGTGACACAGCACCTCGGGGCTGCTTTGTGCACCAGGATGGGGTGGTGGGAAAGGAGGCCGTATGCCTACAGAGCCACATCTAGCCCAGTCTTGTTCACACAAGGCCTTTCTGAACTGAGTCATGTTCCAGCCATCAACACACCTATCTATAGTCACACCATTTCGGTCCTATATAGTTTAGAGATTAAGTCCCTGACTACAGAGATTGAGACTTGTTTTTCTTAGGTAAAATGTGCACAAGATACTGAACCAAGTGGGCGAAAGGTAAACCCGTACTCTAATGACGAACATCATCAGTAAAGCAGACACTTGATCCATAGAACGTTAACAATGGAAAGAAGGGGGAGAAGAGCTTTGGGAATGACGGTGACTGAGGCAAATTGGAAATGATTCAAGTAGGAGTGAAAAACACATACAAAGCCTTTAAATGACTACAAATGAGAAGTTCAATTTAACGCGGAGGGGCAAGGATTATGACTAAGAATTCACTTAACTGAGATGGAGACTGATTTATGACTGACAGAGAGACAGCTGGAAGCTCTGCAGCTCCACCAGGGAAACAGAAGAAAGTTACTCATTCTAAGTGATTCTCTTCAGTCCAGTAACGGTAATGTTGAAGGGAAGAGGAATGAGCCTCAGTGAGAAAAATAAGGTTAACTGCGCACAGAATAGAAATTTCCTGGCTAGGACCAAGAAACCTAAATGTTTGAATCAATCCATAATATTGTGTGTAAAACACAATTAAAGTGATAAGAAACCTGTCTTCTCAAATTGTGCCCTGAGGAGAAGTTATCATGTGCAGGTGACAGGGATATGAGGAAATATAGAATATGGCTAAAGAGATTAGGAAGGTGGCATTAAACACATAATAAAGCAAATAATAAGAATATCAACAACCTTTAGAGCCCTTGCCATCGGCAAAATTTAGGAATAAACTGAAAGGCATCAGATCACCTCTTATCCGAGCCCCACCCCATCTGTATGCCCACCCACCTTTTCCATGAGACAGGAAAAGGAATCAGATATAAAAATAAATGTGGCCGGGCCAGGGATTTAGCTCAGTGGTTCTGCCGCCTACCTCTCAAGTGCAAGGACCCGAGTTCGATCCCTGGTACCAAAAAAAATAATAATAATAAATGTGACCAAAAACTTTAAAACCTCTTGATTCGGAGATGAGGGCCTTTCTGGTTTAAACCTGGAATAGAAAGAAAAGGCAGAAATGTCATAACTGAGATAAGATGAGGTGGTAGCTGACAGAACATGGCAGTAGAGGAAACACTGGATAGTGAGGCAGGAATTCTGGGTTCTAGCCTCGTAGCTGCTCCTGCTCAGCCTTGTGATTTTGGTGAGGAGGTCACCTGAAGTGTTAACTGTGTTCCTCCTCATAGAACAAGAGGATTGGAATAAATGAATTGTAAGATCCTTGCAGTAAAGATTTCTTTTAAGGACATAAAAAGAATAGAAAAACATAGTGAACTCAGTTCACATGTCAGGTTCAAAGTGAGTTTACTGCTCAAGAAGTAAGCATCAAGTTTCTATTAATCACTGACTTATTTCTTTTAATTTTCCAATTGCCAGCTTATTTCTGATTCTAAGTTCACATACAGATACATACATACTTACAAAACAGATCCACTACTTCCTCAAAACTTTCTTGGAATGGCAGTTGTTTTCATAAGACTCCTGCTCTAATTTCTACAAAAGTAGGCATACTCAGGGCTGGGGATTTAGCTCAGTGGTTCTGCCTCCTGCCTCACAAGCGCAGGGTTCTGAGTTCGATCCCTGGTACCAAAAAAAAAAAAAGGCATATTCAGATCATTAAAGGGCATCATGTCTAAATTTTGTCCATATTCTCCTGGTTTTGCTCTTGTTGGAGCTGTTGTTTGCGGGAGTAGGACCCTCAGTTTACTTTTCTCTGTGGGTGTTACCTTTAAAGAATGTATTCACTAGGGGATTTAAACATTGTGTGGTAAATTATTACTTGATAGCATCAGTTATATTTATAAATTATCAAATGTAAAACATGAGGCACAAATTGCCCCATTTCTGCTGCAGGGTCAAAGTTCTTTTTTCTTCTATTTAAGGTAATTACATAGCAACATCCATAACAAACCAAAGAATATAAAAGTCATTTTAGCCTCCCAGTTAAACGTGGAATTGACTTTGTATCCCTACTGTACTAATGGACCCTTTGGAATCAGCAAAGTGAGACTCTTCTCTTGTATAAGTTCCAGAAGAATGGAAAGTTGTTTTAGAATGTAACAGTGAAGAAAAAAGAAAAAAAAGAACATTGTAGAGCCTTCTATGAAAATACACTTTCAGTACAATTGAGGCTCTGTGGCCAGAAGGTACAAATCAAGGAGAGTGAAGTTAGAGGAAAGAAGACACTAGGAAGGTGAGAGTCAGATGACAGGACTGAGTAGCCTCGGAGAAAGTCTTGGTAAGCTGTAGACACCATTCTCATCAGGTTACATTTGAATTGCTGGTGAGCTGCCTCAGAGAAGATGCTGCAGAGATAGCAGAGAGACAGCCTTCCACAGGATGTAGAGATGTGGGGTGGCCAGGTGATCAGGGATCTGCAAACCTAGGGTGGATGATAGAATTGGAGTACAAACTAATCAATAAAGAAGGCAGACAGTAAAGCAACGTTGCCATCTATTTTCAAAAAATTAACATAGCAAGCACGAAAAAGCAAAGTGTTTAAGGCTATGTCTACACTACACTTGAAAGTGAAGTCAGAGAGTCCAGGACATCTTTTAGTATTCACTGCAATCCCACAACCTGGAGTTCCCCAAGAAGTTTTTGAAACGGATGCTCCGTCTGCATTCCAGGTAGGATCTTTCTTTACTTTGTATTTTGATTCCCTTATGGGATAATTTGCCAAAGTGGATTTTGGTACTCCATTTGATCTATAAACCATAGGGTTCCTTTGGAATCTGAGCCTGAAAAGGGTGAAAAGGGTGTACATTAATGGATTAGATTTCATGTTAAAGTGCATTAAATGACAAAAATAAAATACAAAAAACTGATCATGTTAATTAAATGTTGGAGCAGCAGGGAAACATTTAGGTATGTTATTTTAAGATGCATCATGAGAAATATGAGTTTAAGTTTACAAATGACCTGCCTTGAATGTGCAATTGAAAAAAACGTCAGTGGGAAATCCTGGGGTATGGGCAATGCCATTGAAAAGAAATACCAGGAGAGACTTAAGGATAAGGAAAGTCTGTCTTTAAAAAATCCTTCCATAGTTTCATGAGGATAAAGGTGGGCTAGACACAATTTACATTTTTTTCAAGAAGTCCAGTGCTGCTTTGGAGAAAAAAAAATAAAGAAAAAAATTTGTATTTAAAAATTCAGTAAAATGTCAGGGATGGAAATGATAACTATCACAGAATATATCATAGATTTTTCTTAAAGGGGAGAGAGAAAAAAAGTGTGAGCAGGAACAGTCATTGGGATAAAAGAGGATTTCGTGAAAATTAATTTGAAAAAGTGTCATTTCTAATTGATGACATGAAAGGTCATAAAACATTTTCTGTACTTTCTTCCTTTTTTACTTAATTACTTGGTA